CCCTGGAATTCACAAGGACATCTGTCCCACTGTGAACAGGCTATTCCCACTCCTGAAGTGCATCATGGTACTTTATAGGCAGATTTCCGAAAATCATAGGAGGGTGAGAATAGAAAATCCAAATCAATAGGACATGGACCCAATTTTAATTGATTTCATTCCCGCTAGCAGTCCTTAGAAACCAAGCAGCGTTTATCTTGGGGGCGGGTTTTTCATTTCCACCAACAGCTCAACATTTTTAATTTCATTTTAACCAATGAGAACCTTATAATGCTTTTTTTAACTTCTCTCAATTAAAAAAGTACTTAATATATGAACTATTTGTACTAGCAATTTCTCAAAAGTGCTAGGAAAACACCCCCACCCCACCACCTTAAAAAAAATAATAACCTAGCTGAAACCGGTTTGGCTCAGTGGATAGAGCGCCGGCCTGCGGACTGCAGGATCCCAGTTTTGATTCCTATCAAGGGCATGTGCCTTGGTTGGCCACATCCCCGGTGGGAGGTGTGCAGGAGACAGCTGATCCATGTTTCTCTCTCATTGATGTTTCTAACTCTCTATCCCTCTCCCTTCCTCTCTGTAAAAAAAAAAAAATCAATAAAATATATATTTTTAAAAATAATACCTAGTGATTATAAACATTGGCACCGGGATTCAGGATGCCCCCCATAACAAAAACAAATCCAAGCTTCTCTACTTATGAACCTTACCTCTTTCTGCCTCCGTTTCTTCATGTGCAGAATGGGGGATCAAAGCTGTGTTCCTCTCAAAAACTTTGGAGGGAAATAAATGGGTTTAGAGGAACGGACATATAGAAACAGATGCCACTGCACTCAGCCCACCCCGCTTCCTTGGGTGGATATCGGTGTCCGTGTGTTACTTTAAGGTCTGGAGTCGGTGTCTAGGACTCCCGCCTCCCGTTTAACGCCAGGGCGCCGGCCACTGGCAGGTACAAGACGTTGGGCGGCGTCTCGGGCCGGTCCTGCCCCTCCCCGGCCTCCAGCGCGCGCCTTCCCGCGCGGGGATGGCTGAAGGTCGTGGTCCCCCGGGGCTGGTGAACCCAGGATTTGAGCGATTTGACGAGCAGAAACGCCCTTCCGTAGGTAAGAGAGGCCCCTGGGAGGTGGATGAATGGAAGAAAGGCGCGATCGGCACTCCCCGTCCCCCAGTTTCGGGCGCGCAGTGGCGGCGGGTTGGGACGGGTCTGGACGCGCTCGCGGTCCGCCTCCCGCCGCGGGGAGCGCCCCTCGGCCCGGCGCGCCTTGCCCCGGAGGTGTGCCTGGTCTGCTGCCTTCCCGAAAGGCAGGTTCATGACAGCCCGCATTCTGGTGGCGAGCCCGCATGCCCGGCCCAGGAGAGAAGCCTTGGCACAGAATTGCAAAGCCCCATCTGAAACTAACGAAAAGGTCCCGAGTGCGGAAAGAAAGGGCGCTTTGAAGCCTAAGGACCTGGGCTCCAGGGCGAACTCCTTGCATTGAAACTGAGAGAAAGGTCATCGAATTGGGTGTAGAGCAAGTCGGTTATTGCTGCTGTTCAGATGCAAAAGGTTTGGGCTTGTCCGGTGCTTACAGGACCCGAAAGGGGGAAAGAAATCTGAAATAGCAAGGCTGACATGTACACATAAGGAACTATTTGACATTGAAATTGGGTCTCAAAAGAACTGTTGGCCCAGAAAGGAACTCACTACAGACTGATTCATTGGCCTCTCAGCATAACCATCATGGCTTGTCTCGGTTTAGGTTCTTACAAGGGTATTTCTTAGATCACATGATCTCACGCATCTAGAGGAAATGATGAACAACATAAACTGATGAACAAAAACAGACCCAGAGAAAGAGAAGCACCGAACAGACTTTCAAACCTCAGGGAAAGTAGGGGAGTATGGGGGTAAAGGGGAAGAGGTCAATCAAAGGACTTGTGTGCATGCATATGGGCCTGGCCAGTGGCCATGGACAAAGGGGGTGGGGGGTGAGGGCATATGTAGGGAGGAGTTTGGAATGGGATTGGGGGGATGAGGACAATTATGTGATACCATAATCAATAATAAAAAAAAAAAAGTTAAAAGAAAACCACTCCTGCGTATACCTGAGCACATTAGTGTCTCCTAAAGAGGGGAGGTGTGTTTTCAACAAGGTATATATTTTAAATAGAGCAATACACGACTAAATTCTGATATGTTTTCCTTCCAACTGTCTTAAGAGTAGCTGAAATGGACAGAAACATGAATGTTGTTCGGGCATGGTTGGTTATAGACCAGCAGTAGTGATTTAAGGTTGGGGAATGGTAAATGCAACTCAAGCATGAATATTCAGAAATAAGTGTATCTGGCCTGTTGTCCCTTAGCAGTTTATGTGAAATTATGAACTGTGAATTATTTACCTTCCTGAAGTTACTGTCTGAACTATGCGTGCCCAGCTGTTTTCTTCCTGGTTGAGTTTGCCATGTGAGGGAGGAAAGAAGGCGGCTGTACTGAACGCATAGTGTGTGCCAAGAACGTGACGGAACAGTCCGAGACAACCTTGTGAGATGGGTGTAATTATACACCTTTTCAGAGGAGGCTTGGAGGGGTGAAGTACCTGTCACAAACAGGGATGGGGCAAGAGGAACATGAACCTGAAACTCCAGAGACACGCTCTTCTTCCCATGGGGCCATATTGTCCTTGGAAAACCCAAGCCTGGAGGGGAAAAACCAAGCCTAAACCTGGGAAGGTCTGCAGTGAGATCTCAACATATTAAAACTAATTGGGGGATTTAACAACGATTAGCAAATCATTTAGATTCAGAGGAACCAATTGGAGATTATTTGGGTAGGCTGAGGTATGGTGAATGGTAACAGGCATTTAAAGAAAATTCTGGAAAAGAATGAAGTCAGAAGTCTCAAACAGATATAAAAATGAACACAAGCAGGGTAGAGGGGGTCATTGGTGGGCAGAGAGGAACATCTGTAATACTTTCAACAATAAGATAACTTTTTTAAAAAATGAGCATGTATTAAAGGTTTTATTAACTCATTAGAGGTCAGGTGCACAAAATTCGTGCATGGGGGTGTTTCCCTCAGCCCAGCCTGCATCCTCTTCAATCTGGGACCCCTTGAGGGATATCCGACTGCCCATTTAGGCCCTATCCTACCAACTGCTCGCCTGTCCCAGCCTGATCACCCCCTAACCACTCCCCTGCCAGCCTGTTTGTCCCTAACTGCCCTCTCCTGCAGGCCTGGTCCCTTCCAACTGCCCTCCTCTGCTGGCCATTTTGTGTCCACATGGGGACAGGATCTTTGACTACATGGGGGCAGCCATCTTGTGTGTTGGGGTGATAGTCAATTTGCATATTACTCTTTTATTAGGTAGGATTAGTTAGGAAGCTGGTAAGGATATTCCAACCAGATCAAAGAAGAATCCAAAGAATTGGTAGATGTATAGATCAGGAATACTGAAAGTCAGGGAAAACTGGTTTTCCAGGTGGAAGACAGGAAGAGGGTTGTAGCTTCCTTGGATATAACTCATTTGGATGGCCACAGACAAGAATGATGTCACATTGTTATCAGTTAATGCAATTAACAAAGTTGTAAAAGAGCTCAAACAATGCATAGTTTTTCCACAAAGGACAAATTTGTTCTCACCTTTCCACATGCACTTGACCAGTTACCACAGCACATTTCAGTGGTACAATGTGGTAAGATGATTTTCTATCTAAGGTTGTCCACTGGTTCTGTGGTTTTGCTAGAAATATTCCTCCCGGCTCACCTGAGACTCAAGTGATGAAACCATAGACATACAGAAAATAAACAATCTGGGAGGGATGACTAATTCACCAGCAAATGTTTCATGAAAGTAAAAAAGAATGAGGCCATATATGATAAAATGGAATCAGAAGCATGTACATCAAGCATGTCAAACTCAAAGGGTAACACGGGCCATATAAGTGAGACATGCAGCCCACAGGCCGCGAGTTTGACATGGTTGGTGTACATATTTTGATGATCACTTGAATCTATTTTTTCAATGGTTTTGGACAGGATTTCAATCTTTTTCATCTCATGGCACACATAAACTAATTTCTAAAATCTGCAGCACACCAAGAAATATATATTTTTGCCAATCTGACAAAAAAGATAGGTATAATTTGGATCCATTTACACTGGACGGCAATTGTTATGTTGACTATTGTCTTTTTTTTTTTTTAACAATCTAAAGGAAAAGAGGTCAGTGCCCCTGACTAAAGAGTGAGATGTTATATGTTTTAAGAATTCTTGCAGTTGGCCTTAGTGGCTTGTAGGTTGAGCATTGACCAGTGTACCAAAGGGTTGTCGGTTTGATTCCCAGTCAGGGCACATGCCTGGGTTTCATGTAGTTCCTTGGTGGGATTCATGTGTAAATATGTGCCATTCAGTGTGTTAAAGATTTCAGAGTCTAATAGAAGTCTTCATCAACTCAATCTATGTTCTTTTGGGTTTGAACTTACCTAGAAGTATGTTGCCATGAGATGAAAAAGATTGAATTCCTTGGTTAAAACCATTGAAAGAGTGGATACAACTGATCCTCAAAATATGTACATGCTTCTGGGTCCATTTTATCATATATGGCATCATTCTTTTTTACTTTCATGGAACAGTTGCTGATGAATGAATCATTGCCTCCCAGACTGTTTATTCTCTGTATATCTGTGGTTACATGTGTTTTACTTATTTTCAAACATTCATTGGCCCATTGTTTACCACTTATTAATGGCAACTTATTGCCATGTGTGTGTGATGAAGAACAGTGAAGTGTGACTCTACCCCAGCAATAATGGATAAGAAGTTTATTGGCAACAGAAGGTTTGACTGGTTAACCTACGGAATATTTGAGAGCAGTTATTCATCACACCTTTCCATTTCAGCTACAGGTGGATGAAACTGCCATAAAACATTTGGAGATAATGTTTGGAGTTTTTCATTATTCCCAAGAAGCCAAAAAGAGTAAACATCAATTAACATTGGCTCTGTTTCCATTTTATCAGCCATGGATTGTTTCCAAACTTCACTGGGCCACTCCTGGATTTATCCCACTGTCATCCTCTGCTTATTTGGGTTTTTCTCCATGATGAGACCCTCAGAACCCTTCCTTATCCCATACCTATCTGGGCCAGACAAAAACCTGACCAGCACAGAGGTAAGTTAATATCAATATATGTGTGTTAATGTGGTCCAATTTTATCAGACTTGAATAAGATTAATGCATTGACTTCAATGAATCTCATTTTCATGCTATTTGTATTTATAGAACTGTTCAAACTACTCTTTCCTCCTCACACTTGCAAAAATGAGAAACCAAAATACATTACAGGTTGTGATAAATATTTTAACTTTTGTAGAGTTCTAACATTGGTCTTACTGCATGGGAACCTTTCAGGTCTCCATTGATTTCATGACACTAATCTACATATATAAAAGCCTAATATACTAAGTGTCCAACTGACCGGTTGACTGATCACTATGATGAGCACTGACTACCAGGGGATAGATGCTCCGACAGATAGATTAGCTTGCTGCTGGGGTCCAGCCAATCAGTACTGGGTGAGATGGGACCAGATATGCCCTGGAGCCTTCCCATGGTTCCTCCCTAGCCACTGGCCCCAATCGGACTGGGCAAGATGGCCATGATCGGCCCCTATTGCCAGCCAGGCAAAGGGACCCTACTCATGCACAAATATTTGTGCACTGGGCCTCTAGTCCTAAAATGAAGTTGCTGCCAGGCACTAGAACTGATCCTAGTAAACTTCCAGGATGATGATGTATAAGCAAACTCTGATAAAGAATTGTTACATCTCCTTAGGACACTTCCTCAGTTTTGAAAAACTATCTGCTAGCATTATCTTCCCCAGAAGGCCAAATTCTCTTACTTAAAAGATCCACCTCTTTTTTTTTTTTTTTTTTTTTTTTTCCTAAGAAGTGCAACAGGAAATGCGTGGCTCAACTGGAGAATTACTCTGGGCTAGTTTTATAATCTCCAGCAGAGTTATGAAGACATTGAAGAGTGTATGGCTTCCCTGGGAAGACTAATTGATGCTGGTTTCCTTGGTGATGGGGTGGCAGGGACAGAGAGGTGAACTTGTGTGTGGTATAAAATCACTTAGAGACAACGGTGCTTCAAGGATTGCCAAGTGGAAGAATGTCATGGTTAAGGCAAAACAAATGACAGATACAAGTTCAGAATCAGCGAGTGAATTCCAAGGGTCTGCTTCTTCAACCATGATGGACTAGTTAATGTATCCATCCTAAGGCACAGCTCAGTGACACTAGCCATTCAAATCACTGCACTTTCCCTCAGTGTTGGCATTTAAACCTAATAAAGTCACTGTAGAAAGCAGAAGGGATAGAGCAAAGGCTGGTATGGTGTACCCATTAAGACCCCCAAATCAACAGCTTCTTCAATATTTTCTCCCTATGAATGAACCTTGAAGTCCCATGCATTGCATTTTTTTACTTACTCCATGATTTAATCCATCTTAAACAGAGGCCAGAATTGAGACAAGAATTGGGGAGAGGGGGGAAGTTGGGGAGCCCAGAAAATTTGACCAGGAAGGATATTAAGTGCATTTCTTTTTCCCACCCCATAATTTATACCATTATTTACTCTTTGATCTTTGTGTATATATTTATCCAGACTTTGGAAGGGCTGACATTTTTGACATAGGGATGGGTCAAATAAAGATAAAGGTTGTTGGTTTCTTTTAGCATTGTAGCCTCTTTATCTAATATGAATCTTTAAACAGGAAGGGAACGCTATTTTTTGTTGAATTTATTGGGGTGACATTGGTTAATAAAATTATAAGATTTCAGGCGTACAATTCATGGTAAAGGTATTTTTTTTTAAGACCTGAAAAAAACTAGAAGTATCTGTTGAGCAATTTTTGACTGATTTACTCAAGTGCACATACATCTACTAATAAACATAGTATAGTTCAGATTGTGCATACTCTCTTACTGAGATGCACAGAAGTATACAATTTTTGGTGGGGGAGGGGGGCGGGTGCAAGGAGCGTTCTGTTTCCCTAGTGGCTTTCTTGAAAAATCCATGTTCCATTCTTTTTCATAACATGAATATCCTATCCAATTGGTTACAAAATTTGACATTGTGCAAGCGACATCCCTTAGTGTGCACATGGCTAAGAAAGGTGTTCTTTTCATTTCCTGGTGCTACATGGTCACACTCTCCATTTTTTTTCAATTTTGCAGATAACCAATGAGATCCTTCCCGTGTGGACATACTCCTACCTGCTGCTGCTGCTCCCCGTGTTCATCCTCACCGATTACGTCCGCTACAAGCCAGTCATCGTCCTCCAAGGCATTAGCTTAATCACCATGTACCTGCTGCTCTTGTTTGGCCAAGGAGTGAGAGCCATGCAGGTTGTGGAATTCGTCTACGGGATAGTCACTGCCACCGAGGTGGCCTACTTTGCCTACATATACAGCGTGGTCAGCTCAGAGCACTACCAGAAAGTGAGCGGCTACTGCAGGAGCATCATGCTGGTGGCCTACACGGCCGCCTCGGTGCTGGCCCAACTCTTGGTGTCGCTGGCCAAAATATCCTACTTTTACCTCAATGTCATATGCTTGGTCTCTGTCTCCGTGGCTTTCCTTTTCTCACTTTTTCTCCCAATGCCCAAGAAAAGTATGTTCTTTCATGCAAAGCCCAGAAAAGAAGCACGCAGGCCATTAAGCATAAATACAGGGTTAGGGGAAGGGGCAACACCTGGCCGCCATGAGGAGAAACCCACTTCAGAAACAGCCACCACTTCAGGAAGCCTGGGTGCCGGCCAGCTCAGCAGCCCCAAGCCAGAAAATGTCGCTCGGAGAGTGTTTGTGCAGTGGTTCCAGGACCTGAAGGAGTGCTACTCCTCCAAGCGCCTTTTATACTGGTCCCTGTGGTGGGCTCTCTCCACAGCAGGCTTCAACCAGGTCTGCAACTACGTTCAAATCCTGTGGGACTATAAGGCACCGTCCCTAAATTCTTCCGTCTATAATGGGGGAGTGGAAGCTATCGCCACCTTTGGAGGTAAGTATACCTTGATTGGTTTTCCTTTGAAAACCCTCGTTATGTTTATTTTTCCAGTTGCTAAATTTCTCCATGGTGGTAAATTAGCTCTGTGTTAGAGGGCATGTTGATCTCCTTTCGGATGGAAGACACGGGGAAGAGAAAAGAGGAGCATGATACTTCTCTGTTATGAAGGAACTCAGGAACTCAGGATTGAACACGGAACAAACGCGAGCCAAATTTCTAAGGTTTCACCTCACCATCAGGAAAAGTGCTAAGAATGCCCCCTGTTCTTCTAGAATTGTCTTCAGTGTCAAAGGCCAACACACAGCTTGAAGCTCAGTAGGAGTTTTATTATTTTAGAAAATGAGTTTAAGGAAATGATCACTTGTAGAGTTTTGGTTAATAAAGAAGTTGGTTTAGCTAGCGCCCACCTTTAGAAGTTCTAGGCTGTGCACCAAAAATGTTCACAGGTCCCTTCTGAGATTTAAATGAGGAGAAGAAGATATGTGAGAGTCAGGATTCTAATATCAGAGGGAAATCTGCCTTTGAGCTTTGCTCTACAATAAATATTTATGTCCTGGTAAATGGAAACTTAAATGCCACATAAGACTTTGAAGATATTGTCCAGGAAGTAGGAGATTTCCACACCCTCTTTTACAAAAAGGTTCAGAAAATTCATGCGGCATTTGTTTATTATTGTCTCCCTTTTGGGAGACTTCAGTTTAACTGCCGGAAACCAGCACCGAGCCGAATGCTCCACTGAAATGATTTCTCCTGTAGCCAAGTTCTTGAGGGAAGAACAGGTGTTTTTTCCTTTGCAATCATAGTCTTTACTAGAACAAATGTGAAAAGGTTAATTAATCAAATGTCAGTAATTTGAAGCATAAATATCTTTTATTTTGCTAAAGAGAACTATAATTACTAACCCTAATTCTAGTCAATTATTCAACCTCTTAATATAAACCAATATAGCCGAAACTGGTTTGGCTCAGTGGTAGAGCATCGGTCTGCGGACTGAAAGGTCCCGGGTTCAATTCCGGTCAAGGGCATGTACGCTGGTTGGGGGCACATTCCCCGTGGGGGGTGTGCAGGAGGCGGCTGGTCGATATTTCTCTCTCATTGACATTTCTGGCTCTCTATCTCTCTCCCTTCCTCCCTTCCTATCAATAAAATATATATTTTTTTAAATATATATATAAACTAATATAGATTTGCTCACCCAAAATCTCAACTAAATTAGGTCAGATCTGAAGATGTTAAGATGGGACTCGAATTAAGATTAAGAGTAATAAAGATTAATCTTATTAATTATAATCAGTAATTATAATATATAATAATTATATAAATAAATGTAACATAAATATTTAAATAGCACGTAAATATAATAAAATATAAATATTAATAAGATAGCCTAAAACTTACTACCCATTGCAACACATCAATGAAAAAAAACTTACTATAAAAATTATAAAGAAAGGCAAATATGGATGTGGGGCCAGGTGTACCCCAGAGCAATGGCTTCATCCTCTTCTCTTCCTGCCCTTGCGTGTTGTGTTGAATAACTGGGTTTATGTCTTACTTCTCCCCACTGAGCCGTGGTTAGGACCTTGGCCCTTGCACCTAGTACAGTGTTTGGCATGTAGATGATATGCTAATTAAAAGTGTGGCAACTAAATGACTGAAAAAATAGGAAGAAGGAGAGGAGCCAAAGAAAAATGTGGTTGAGAAAAGGATAAGTCCATATTTGGTGGATTGCACTATTTTCACAAGTTTTGAAAGCAATATATTCATCTTCTAGAATATTACCTGAGACCTGCGCTTTTAAGAGACCAAGCTGACATTCCACGTGCAAAGGCAACATGTTTGATCTTCCCTAATGCTTCCTTGTCAGGGGCCGTGGCTGCCTTTGCAGTGGGTTATGTGAAAGTCAACTGGAACCTTCTGGGAGAGTTGGCCCTGGCCATCTTCTCAGTGGTCAATGCCAGCTCCCTACTTCTCATGCACTACACAACTGACATCTGGGCATGCTATGCTGGCTATTTGATGTTCAAGTCCAGCTACATGCTTCTTATAACCATAGCAGTGTAAGTATTACCAGCCATTTCTGGCCACTCCTAAAACTAAACCATACTCTCTCTCTTATAGTCTTACAGGACCTTTGAGAACTTCAGAAGGATTTTAATCGATTGCAATATTAAATGTTGAATACTTCATATTATATTAGACATAATTAAGTCATCTTTTTATTTAACTGTTTGCTGTCTGAATATTACTAAGAGTAGTCATCAAGAAAAAAAAATTCCTAACGGGACAAGTCTTGGTGGATAGTCACATCCCAGGCACATAATGTTTTTAGTAAAAGGTTTATTTTTGCCTTAAGTAAGCCCTGTCCATTGTTTCTGTGCATCTAGTTAACACACTTTTAAAATAAGCCATAACCACCCTCAAGAAGGCATATAATCTTATTAACTGCCCTGTAGCCCAATCTCTGCCTTGCTGTCTCCCACCTGCATGTAATCTTCCTTCGTCTCCTTCTTATGTTCAAATGCATGAAAAGAAGCTACAAAAATTTATACTCCAGAGCATTTGAGATCTTGCTCCCAGGCATATATCATGTTTGGTTCAAATAAACTCATAAAAGCTCTTAAAAAAAACTCTGTAGGTTCATAAAGCAAGAGCAATGACACATTGTCAGGTTGTGATTTTTTATTTCAAGCAATTTTCTATAACAAGGTGTGATAAAACTTGATTTTGAATAATTCCGTTTAGGTTTCAGCTCTGATTTCACTTGGTTGTTGGCATAATACCAAGTGTATATTTGAAACAAAATATTCTCAGCATGTTATAAAAAGTTGTATACTGAAAAATGTAGATGCAAACAGTATAAGAAATAAATTCCAGAGAGTATTTTTTATTTTGTTTATTTTATTTTACTTTTTCCATCACCACCCCTTCCCCAACAATCACCACACTGTTTTTCATGTCCATAAGTTCTCTCTTTTTCTTTTTTGCTCAATCCCTCCACCCCCACTAATACCCTGAGATGGTTATTTTTTATTAAAAGCATTTAGTTCCAAATATAAGTACAAAGGAAGCTGACTATCAGGTAATGTATTTTAGTAGTAATAAAAAAGATAAACATTTAAATTTATTATTTTTTAAATAAATCTTTATTGTTCAGATTATTACAGATGTTCCTCTTTTTTTTCCCCTCCATTGCTCCAATCCACCAGGTTCCAATTCCACCCTTGCCCTTTCCCCAGCCCCATTGTCCTCATCCATAGGTGCGCAGTTTTTGTTCAACATTTAAATTTAAAAAGATAGAAACAAAAGCATTATCAAGTTTTGTTTTTTAATTTGTGAAAAATGTTTGATAAGCAATTGACAAAATACAGAAATAAAAGCACCCTGGAAAAAGATAAGGAAACAAATGAAAAAGATAGCAAGTTTTGTGTGTGTGTGTGTTTTTCACTGAAATGAGTCAATTTAATGAATCAAACTCATGTGTCTTGAGTTTCTTTTTTTAATGTTAGCATTTTGTTAAGGTAGGATTATATTATTTCTTTTCATTGTAAGCATAGTCAAAACACAAAACCTTTACCTGCATTCCACGGGGAACGCTAAATAACATGCATTTTCCGGTCTTTCATAAGTGTTTTGTTTCAAAACCTATATACTTCTTACAAATTAATTACAGACTCCATTGATCTTCCAGAGAATAGTCCTCTCCAAACTTTGAAACTGTAAATACAGATAATTGACATTATAATGAGTAAATTTCCAAAAATTTCCTCAGATTGGGTGTTGCTTGTATTTTTTATAAAAATTCACTATACGACAGTATCTAAAAATCAAATTGCATTCAATATTCTAAAGTTATGAGAACTTAGAACGATTAGGTTTAATTTCTGGAAGTATTAAATTGGGCAGGAGGAATTTTGCCATTTTTTTCTTTATTTTAATTACCTCTAACAATATTTTGAACTCCCTTTCTTTGCTCTTCCTGTTTGTCTATACTTGGGAAGATTTAGATAAAGATTACTGTTAACAAGAAATAAGCCAGTCAGAGAAAGACAAATACCTTATGATTTCACAAATGTGTGAAATGTAACGAACAAAAGAAACAACACAATAGGAATAGATTCACACAGAGAACAGACTGACAGCTGTTTTGGGGGGCTGGGTGAAAAAGGTGAAGGCAATAAGCAATACAATACAAATTGGTACCTTAGTTGCAGAATACCCGTAGCGATGCAGATTGCAATGTGGGGGATATAATCAATAATGTCGAGATAACTGGGTATGGGCCAAGTGGATAACTGGGGCAGTGGGAGGACCACTTTGTAGAGTACCTGGTGTGGAATGGTATTGAATGTAAACTGTGGTTGAAAAATAAAATAAAATAAAACAAATGTTTTCAATCTGCAATAAAAAAACACTGTTTTCTCTTTTTTTCTTTCTTTCAATTACAGTTGACATACAATATTATGTCAGTTTCAGGTGTTACAACATAGTGACTAGATATTTGTATGCCTTATGAAGTGATAACCTGGTAAGTCTAGTACTCACCTGATACCGTGCATAGCTATTACAATATTATAGACTAAATTTCCTCTGCTCTACAATCCTGTGACTGTTTTTATAACTGGCTCCTTTCCCCTTTTCACCTGTCTCTTCAACCCCCATCCCACCTAGCAGACTGCTCTCTCTCTCTCTTTTTTTTTTTTTTGTCTTTTGAAGCTAAGAATCCCATGTATGCTCTTTTAAACACCTATCCCGTGTCTAATGATAGATTTCAGATTGCAGTTAATCTGAGCATGGAGCGGTATGCCCTGGTGTTTGGAATTAACACCTTCCTGGCCCTGGTGGTTCAGACCATCATCACCGTGGCCGTAGTGGATCAGAGAGGGCTTAACCTGCCCATCAGCATTCAGGTAAGCTGCAGCACTGCTGTTCAGAGTTGGTGGGAATAACTAGGTCATCTCAAAGGATTTTACAACGTTACCACTGCAATACTTAAGTTACTCGAATTCCTTGGCTAGGCAAATTTTAAAATAAAATTTCCTAATTATCAGTATAACAAACTGAGTAGTTTTGAGCAATAATCACAATAGAGGAGCATTTATTCTTGGCTCTAAAACATCATCAGGCAACACGTCATTGTGTCCCCATATGTCCCCATTGTGTCCCCATATCCCTCCTACCATCTAGAACCTACCATTCAAGGTTTATTGGAATTCAACTAGAGGCAGACCTCTTTTCCCTGTTCCTGCTCCACTGAGGGACTGGCAATTAGCCCAATTTCACATTTTACATTTAATCTGAAAAAAGGGGGGCACATAAGGTAGATAAGTAACTTCAGTATCCAAAATTTATTCTTGGAGATATTACATATAGCATTCTCTACCCTCCAAACAGACACACACAGATCAGTGGGATTTAGTCTTTTTCCACCATTGGCAATCTTAGAATTTGTACCAAGCAACCCTGGCTCCAAAGCCCACAATTTTAGTTACTGTATTTTTTTTAAATATATATATTATTGACTTTTACAGAGAGGAAGAAAGAGAGATAGAGAGCTAGAAACGTCGATGAGAGAGAAACATCGACCAGCTGCCTCTTGCACACCCCCTACTGGGAATGTGCCCGCAACCAAGGTACATGTCCTTGACCGGAATTGAACCTGGGACCCCTTCAGTCCCCAAGCCAACGCTCTATCCATTGAGCCAAACCGGTCTCGGCTGCTTACACTTTCATACCGGGCTCTTCTACTAGTAAGATGGGAGCAGAAGAAAATATTGTGCAAAACTAAATATCCCATTATTAAGATACTGGATCTCAGGTACCCCCTAATCCAAGCAAATCAATAACATCACTATGAATAATCAATGACAGAGATGGTCACCTTGCATGTGTGTCTAATTCTATTTGTTTTTCTACAGTTTTTAGTTTATGGGAGTTATTTTGCTGTCATTGCTGGAATTTTCCTTATTAGAAGCCTATACACTATCTACTCAGCCAAATGCCGAAAGGAAGTGCAAAGCTCTGCTACAAGTCAGAGCCACAGATGAGCCACGCCCAGAGGGACCAAGAAACGCCATCAAGGGAACAAAGCCCTAATCTTATGTCAACCACTGCAGGCTCTTAGCGAGGGCTGTGCTGGTCACCGTCCCCAGGTGCCATAAATTGACAGTCTTCACAAGTCTGGATGCCAGTGGACCTTTTCAAAACCACAACAAACTCTCAGCTTTAGACCAGATATCTATATGCCCAGCTGAGCTGGGTGCAGTTGACAATTAAACAACAATTAGTCTCAATTAAACAACCCATTTTGGGACCCCGCCCCCCTCCCGTGAATAGCAGTGACTGAAAAAAATCTGGCTTTGATCACTTGTAAATACATGCAAATGGGTTGTTCTGTGCCCGTTGACCAGGACTGCTACTTGCTAAGCAGTGGCTCACAGTGAGGTCACCAAAGAGGTTGTGGAGGGGAAGTTCCTCGTTTGTGAGCAGAAGAACTAACTGAACTGCCCGTTTCTTGCTTAGATATTTATCTTGCCGAAACAGACTCCACGTGGAACAGTTTTGTCACATGAGCCATTTTCCCTCTTCTTCCACTAAAGTGTATTTCTGTATAACACAGTTCTCTGAGAGAATTACAAGGTTTGGTCTCATTTCTAAGTACTCCACTTTAATTAATTCTGATAGCCTAGCATTAGGAGCAAGCTTCTATTTGATAATATCACCCTTTAATATTTTTATGTTAATTTTTTACTTGGTGCTCTCTTGAGCTTTGCTGTGGAAACTCTACCTCAAGACTAGATTGACACTCCTGGTATTCATGTCATGGTATTCATGTCAATTCCTAGTGGTGCAAGGAGAGCCATGAGCTTTCTTCCAATCATGATCCCAGATAGATGCTTTAATGCTATGTCAGTGTACTGGCTGTTTAAAAGAGAAAACTTAAGTAGAATTTTCAGGGAGTTCTATAAGTATTCATAAATAAGAAACCACTGATGGGCAAAGGGAAATGCCTAAATTTTAAATGGCAAAGACTGGAGGGAAGAAGAGACTGAACATAAACTGCACCTATGGATGAGGACAATGGGGGATGGGGGGGGGGACGGAGGGTGGGGTGGGAACCTGGTGGCGGGGGGAAGAAATGAGGAACCTTTGTAATAATATGAACAATAAAGATTGATTTTAAAAAATAAATAAATAAATAAATGGCAGAGACTGTACTAAATAAAATAATGTGGCATGACTCAGTGGTTGAGTGTCGACCTATGAACCAGAAGGTCACAGTTTGATACCTGTTGAGGCATATGCCCATTGTGGGGTGTGCAGAAGGCAGATGATTAATGATTCTCTCTCATCATTGATGTTACTATCTCCCTCTCCATTCCTCTCTGAAATCAATAAAAAATAAAATAAAAATAATGTGTGCAAAAATTTTAAAGAGTCTTTCTCATTTCCTGTTAAGTGCTGAAAATTGCCTGAGCTTGTCTTTCCTGTGAAATTTCAATAGAGGACACTTTGAGCAGTAGAGGAACAAATAAAAAGATTAAACAAAGATGCCTGGACCAAAGCAGTAGTCGTTTATTTAGGAAGTTGGTCTGCATTTAGTGTGAAGCACAGTTTGTGATTGTGATTACACTGCCCTCTAGTGTCTGATCTCCAAAGAAAGTAAATCTAAAATTACTACAGAAATCTCTCCTTTCCAGCTTGCAGCCAGAGTTGACCAAGACTGCTATTTGCTAAGCAGTGACTCACAATGAAGTCCACAACCAGCACATTACCTGGGAATTAGAAGGGAAAATTCTTAGCCTCTCCCTCTTCCCCACCAAGCAGACTCGCTGAATGAATAAGTGGAGAAAGACCCAGCTATTGGTGTTAGGACTTCAAGGCATTCTGAGGTTTTTCTACCAAGTTCCTCAAAACTCTTCCAACCTCTACCCATTATCCAGTTCCATAGCTCCTTCCACACTTTTAGGTATATGTCACAGTAGCACCCCACTTTCCAAGTACCAAAATTGGTATCAACAATTCATTAATCCTTGAGATTTCTTGGATCCAAGGGAAAGGTCATTGCAATGAGCCCCTAGTCCTAGCTTGTAGCATCTAAGTAGCAAGATGAGTGATGTGGCTGTTGAAAGCTTCCTAGGAGAAAGCACAGGTTTGTACAATCATCATTAAAATGATGAGGCTACCTGGTCAGTGCTTATTAACCAACACTGCTGGTTAGAAAGGGTAGGGCATGCACAGCCTGCGTCGCTCAGTGGTTGAGTGTCGACCTATGAACCAGGAAGTTGTGGTTCAGTTCCTGGTCAGGGCACATTCCAAGATTGTGGACTCAATCTCCAGTGGGGCTCATGCAGGAGGCAGGCAATCAATGATTCTCCATTTATAAATATTAACTTACATTAAAAAAATCATAAATCATACTTATTTGTCCTTTGGTCAAATCTTTACAGACTTCCACTGTGGGGAGACAGAGTCATCTTAATTAGGTTCTTTTCTAAATACACATACCCTCTCCACCAGATATTTTACTAATCCATTTAGGTTTTTCTCTAAATAGCCTAATTAGTGAACATTTTCTTTATGTGATTTTGATATTCCAGCTTATCATGACTCAGTACTATTTTTTTATCCAGATTACTTTATCACTTAAATGAGTTTTCCATCTGAACCTTGCCATGCCCTTCTTTAAAAATTATTTTTTTATTGATTTCAGAGAGGGAGGGAGAGAGAGATAGAAACCTCAATGATGAAAGAGAATCATTGAGCAGAAACCGGTTTGGCTCAGTGATAGAACATCGGTCTGCGGACTGAAGGGTCCCGGGTTCGATTCCGGTCAGGGGCATGTACATTGGTTGCGAGCACATCCCCAATGGGGGGTGTACAAGAGGCAGCTGGTCAATGTTTCTCTCTCATCGACGTTTCTAGCTCTCTATCTCTCTTTCTTCCTCTCTGTAAAAGTCAATAAAATATATATTAAAAAGAAAAGAAAAAGAAAGAGAATCATTGATTGCCTGATATATATTAGAAGCCTAGCACGCGAAATCACTCGGCCCCACCCACCTGTGCCAGCCTTTCGTTGTTACAGCGTTAGGGCCAAAGGCTTTTTATTATATGTATATATATTTTTTTATTTCAGAGAGGAAGGGGGAGAAAGAGGGATAGAAACATTAATGATGAGAAAGAATCATTGATTGGCTACCTCCTTCACGCCTCTCACTGGCGATCAAGCCCAGAGCCCAGGCATGTGCCCTGAATGGAATCAAACCATGACCTCCTGGTTCATAGTTTGACACTCAACCACTGAGCCATACCAGATGTGCATTTTTATCTTCTTTTAGTCAGCAAAACTCAGAGACACTAAAAAATCTGGGTAAGGTCAACCAGTTAAGACTAAGTACAACAGAGGGGGAAAAGTCTGATGGTGCATATCACAGTAATAGTTGGGATATTTATTAAAAGCCTACTCACTTGTGGCAATAAAAAACAGTCAGGATTCGGGATTCCAACTCCCCTCCCCCAGACAGAAAATATACTAGCATAGGCCAGTGTTCTGAAACAGAAGCAAATTCCTTTCTCTTTTTTTAAATTGAATTTATTGGGGTGACATTGGTTAATAAAATTATATAGGTTTTAGTTTAGGTTATATAGGTTTTAGGTGTACGATTCTATAACCACAATTTTCAATGTACCCAACTCTCTTTTGAAAGCTACAGATTTGCATCTTAACATAATGAGAGGGAAATAAAAGCATTTGTTTGGTAACATTTTAACTGATTTACTAATGACCTTTGAAATGACAGGTTAAAAATTAACTAAAAATTACCACCTGCTTGAAATATTAAAAATTGTGCCACTGGGATAACCTGGGATTGTTAACTCAGTATGTCTTCTTTTTTTTTTTAATAGCTATTACTCCACTATTAATTTTAAAAAGAGAAAAATGCTTTTGAATGAGAAAAGGAAATCGAAGGAGTGTTTTAACTTTCCTGTTGAGTTATTGCTCCCTTCTCTCTCAGCAGAGACATAATCAAGGAATCTGGTAACCCTCTCGTTTCCAAAATTCTTCTGAATGAGCCCTTAGGTTTCCCTCGGGCACAAGGAAAGCCATTCAATTCAAAGGGGCTGAGCACCAACAGATAAAACAGAATTACAATATCCTTTTTGCAATAAATAAAGGTACCAGCAGGGGGCAACCTTGGAGCCTAACTGGAGTAGCAGAAATGTATTCAAGAGGATTTGTTGCAGCTGTTTGTTAAGTGAGTCTCCTTTTGCTGGTAATGGATTCCAAACCCAGTCAAACCATCCAAACCGGCTATTTTCTGTGCAACATTCTACTTTTGAAAACTGGCCGCCAACATTGGGCGTGGAAGCAGAAGTTATTTCCTCCATAAAATCCCGACGCTATGGTCTCTGGAATAAAAGTGGTCTGGGAAGTGCTGTGTTCCATTTCATCCTCACCAATGCCTGAGACATGGAGTCAGAGAAGGATCTGAGATTTCCTTACTACAAACTCTGTTGTTTTTCTTTTAAATTTCTATTAAATGTATTGGGGTGACATGGGTTAACAGGGTCATACAGGTTTCAAGTGTACTTCTCTATGATACAAGATCTGTACATTGCACTGTGTGTCTTCCACCCAATAAAACCTCTGTTAGACACTGTCTTCTTCTACTTTGTATTTTATTATTAGACTCCTAAGAATTACTAGTCTCTAAAACTTTCAAAAGCTGCAACAGACCTGACAGGGTGAATTACAATTTTTTAATAAAGTTTGCATTTATTTAATTTATCAGTCTCCAGGGGAAGCTTTCTAAGAGTATTCCCTTTAACTGCCGGTGCATCTGATCCGTGTGAGCAACAATCTCAGTTGCTTAACCTCACTTGAAACCTCTGTGTCCCAGCTTAAGCCCCTCACACTTGAAACAGAAACCAGAGCAGTGGTAACAATGCCGGCTCCGTCTGTAAAGATGGTGCTTCCCCGACTCATTGCCCTGGAAGCTGGATTCAGGAACCCAACCCACATTAAACACCTGCAGTAATGACAGGC